CACCCAAAAGTTTTAAAAACTGAAAAGGCAATTATAAGGGACCCTCAGGACATTTCCAAATAAACTTTGGTCTCTCTTTTTTTTTTCTTTTCCCCCTTTTCCTTCAGCCACCGCCTTAAGAATCTCAACTTTCACTTAAAACCGAGTTTTTTTTCTAACTTGCCCTGTTGCACAGATAACGGAAACTGTAATCTCAAATACACCCAAAAGTTTTAAAAACTGAAAAGGCAATTATAAGGGACCCTCAGGACATTTCCAAATAAACTTTGGTCTCTCTTTTTTTTTTCTTTTCCCCCTTTTCCTTCAGCCACCGCCTTTGTTCTCGGGGAACAATTGTTTGAAAAATCGTGCCGGGTGATCCCGAGGGCACTGGCCTGGCCCCAGGCCCAAAGACGCGCATGAGCGGTCAGGGACCGGCCGTGCCGAGCATCTAGCTAATTGATGTGGTGTTGGGCGCCCTGGCGCGGCGCGGCCCTCTCCCGGCACCCCCGGTCCCTTGCTTTGGCCGTCGGACGCCCAGCGATGCCACAGACGTTACTCACGGCTGCATCCTGGAGCCCAGACGAGAACATTCATTTCACACCGCAAACTTATTTCTTTCCCCCTCCACCGCTTTCTTTTATCGAGTTTCAGTATAATAAACAAAGGGGACGATATTATTTCACTGGCAAAGACTCCAGCTAATGCACAAACAGTTTTCAATACTGGCACACGGAGGGACTTTTTCACCGTATAGTGGCCAATCAGAGCCATATCAGTCCTAATGGCACAGGGAAATGGAAATTCAGATCTTTCACCTTGAAGAATAGCTGCAATTCATACACTGCTAGTACTTTTTTCTCCTCCTTCCCTTTTTTCTTTTTTTGCTAGCACAGCAAACTGAATCATCACAGCAGTATCAAAGGAGACTTTTCCAAGCTGTTCACATACAGCAAAGGGACGGTCTTGTAGAGCCCGATATTTAACCATCCCAGATCGTGGCAACGTGTCTGCAGGAGCAGGGTCCTGGCTTGCTTTGGTTCTCTTAATGACTATGGGCAAGTTACTTCACTCCTCTGGGCTTCTGCTGCTCTTTGGATGGTCAATTTGAATATGAACCGTTCAGCCTTCAAGTCATGAATTTAAGCCACGGTCTTGACTTGTGCTAGAGCCATTCTCAATGGACTACATATAAAGAGGTACCTAATTAATTGAGACAGAGGGTGAAAGGCAGCCGAATCCAGCCCTGCTGCACTTAATGCCTATTGACTTCAGGCGCTCCTTTACCTTGCTGGCCCATGGGCTCCAACAGACTTTTAAATAAATAAGAATACAAGCCACATTTTGTATAGTTGACCAGCTTATTCTGTATCTCTAGGTATTGTTAATCAGGAGAAAGGACATTACTATCAGCTAAAGCAGACAAGCATTTTACATATATTTTTAACCAGTAATTTAGAGTCAGCTTTTGAGCATTGCTTTTTTAATATTTTCCTTTCTTTCTACTTTTAGTATATATATGCATTTCCTTAAGAGGATCTGCTTACAAGTATGTTAGGCAAGCAGAGATTTTTGCAGGCAACCCAGCAGTCTGAGGTCTAGAAGCACTGTCCAGCTTTTATGACAAGGACGACACAGAGGCGCTATCTCACCAGTGCACCCACTGGGAGTCACTGGGAGAGCACACCCACTGAGGGCACTGCTGTTGGGGAGAGCTTACACCACTCATACCCAAGCAAACCCGAGAAATAATCCTTCCGGGCCGGCACAGTGCATCTGGGCAACTCCGCCAGTGCAAATTTCTCTAGCCAGAACAAGCCAAGAGTCATCTCTGGCCAAAATTCCAGCACTAGCTGCTTGAGTAAGTGATTTTTCCTGAGATCATGATGCAAGTCTTTGTCAGAGAGGGCTTATGCCAGGGCGCTGGAGTCCTGTTTCCCCGTCGAATGCTTTCGCCACTCACTGATCCAACCCACCATACAGCCAGGCAAGCCTGTCACCTGCAGCGAGCTCCCCCGTTGGAAAAACATGCAATTTTCCAAAGGTAAGGGAGTCTTGGGTTACTAGGAACACAAATCATTATGAGTAAAACTGCATTCCCAATTTATTGTATTTGTTTTATTTATAATTTTATTACCTATTCCACATTTTCCATATTTTCCATGTGCTTCACGTCATTCTTGTCCATTCAGGCCTTTACATGGAAACTTGGGCTCTTCTCCACTGCCTAATGTGTTGAAGGCTTTATAAACAGTCTTGTTTCATTGTTTGCTCTGCCTCTTTCCATCCCAGGGGCGGGTGACTGAAGTTATGTTTGGTACAAGTCTGACTGTTCTGGGAGCTGGGGAATGGGATGGGGGGAGAAGGGAAGAAAAGCAGCTATTAATGTGATAAGCTGCAGAAAATAAAGACGGTCAAATTATTCAGCTGGAGCTCTAACAAAGAAGATTTTGAGACGCCTCTGATTTGTTTGCTTCATGTTAGGTATTAAGTTGTCAAAGACAGAGATTTTCCCATGTGCAGCAGTCAAGGCTGAGGACTGGTCAACGTGTTGCATGTGCATACCTTGGTCTCCCACCAAACCATAAAATACAGTTCACCGAATGAAGAGGAAACTCCTCCTGACGCTGGTAGGGCTAGCTCCCTTCCCTGCTCTGCAAGGCTGCTTCTGCAAGGTAATACCATACATCTCGGCGCGCAGATGCTTCACTATCTCACCTTGTCCTAGATGTGTAGGCAACTGCTTTTGTCATGCTCACATCTGACTGTAATATGCGAGCGAATCAGGAGTGTTCAGCAAGGCCACGTTTAGCTGTGCTTTCAAGATTTTGTGTCAGCAAGAACGTTGGGTCAATTTGCAAACAGCTTTGGAAAATCTGGTGCAGCATCTCTCGTTTGGCATTGCCAGGCTAACAGTTGTCATTCAGCTCTTGGGCACGTTTACACCATCTCATATATTTTTCATCAGTCTTGCACCCTCGGTGACACCCTTATCAGTTGCTGAGCGTGTTTGTTCTGAGTTAGTTCAGTCCCACAAGAAGTGAATGTGCATGCAGCGATACGTGAACCTGAGTAATCTCTTGGATAGCAAAAGGATGCTCAGTTCCTGCAAAAAAACTTATCAGTTTTCATCTAGATTTTATTGCTGGCTTTTTTTTTTTTCCCGATATGAGGAACTCAAAAAACAACGTAGCATTTGATGGCAAAGGAGGGGCAGGGAGACTGGATTAAAACATCTGGTGATGTAATTAGATTCACTAAAAAGTTTACACTCCAAACTGCGCCTCCGTAATTGATGGGACTATTGTGATGTGTCACTTCCACTTACTCGATTAAGCGGCCGCTTTCGCCGAGCTGCACCCTGCGCTAACCTTCGCAGCTGACCTGCTGCAGCTCCCCTATTAGAGCCGCAATTATGGGGTGATTCTTAATAGCAAGGTCTTGCTTCAGAGTGGGGAAAAAAATGTTTCTGTAGCTCACATGCAACAATTAAAGATAATTTAAAATGTAAGTAATTGCACTGGGTTTCTGGAAACTACTGTAGAGGTCTTGTCCCAGTCATCTGACAGGCATGGTGGTGTATTTTGACAAGTTTTGCACAGATTTCCATTAAATACCAACTAGCAGTTCTATTTTCTTTGGAGTCATTGGTCAGGAAATGGTGATTGTGAAAGGTCAGGTCTGGAAGATTTGGGAGGGGATGGAGGTGTTACTCACGTTCTGATCCATGGGGATCTAGTTCCAACATAAATCTTTTCAGTCGCTTGATTCTTGCTTTCTGCATAGTGTTTGAGCAGGAGAAAGGCAGGGACTGATCCACAGGCAAGGGCTTCTGCTGAGTTATTTTCACCCCTGCAGAGATGCCACACGTGGCAGGACCTCTAGAACATCCACCAGGTCTCTGGAAACCTGCAGAATCCTTTTGAGTCTAGTTTTAGAGACCTGCCGAACACCAAAATGTTTGGTTGGGTCTTCGGCTCATAACAGCATTGCCCTAAATCCCTCAGTCTGCAGAACTAGATTTCAAATTGCTACTGCTCCAAGGTTTCTGCAAGGTCAGCTGAGTGTGAACGTCATGCAAAAAGCACCCAGATACTTTCAGAGGCTCAGCAATCCCTGAAAGAGTTTTGCATCATGAAAACAGACTGTCAGACGAGTTTGGATTCTGCCACATGGTTCTAGTGATAATAAACCATCTGTGTGCGTCTTGCCACACACAATCTTTCCTCTCTCTGTTTTTTCTCCCTCACTTTTCTTCCAAGTCCTCTCTTATTTGACCTACATTTAAGAAAGCCAACAAATCCCAGAAGTGCACATAGGAGAATTAAATATGCAATTAGTTACAAAGATGTAAATGGAGAATGAATCCATCTACATCAGAGTAAAAACAAGTATAGAAAAATAGGATGATCCATGAAATGGAAAAGGACCCATCAAGAATGTAATCATCTTCTGCCACATTTAATTGATGTAGGGTCCCATCTCAGGTGATGCGACTTTTGCTCCTAAATCATTTGAAGTAGGGTTTTAAAAGAACTTTGGTGTCAGACAGTGCAGAGAGATAACTCGTACAACATTTGCAAATTGCGCTTTTCTTTCTTCTTCCGTGAATTGATTTCTAAATTATGTTGAAAAGATCAAGTTTATAATCCTGTATTATAGATGTCTTCAGTGTGTGTCATTGATAAAATTAAGGATGTGCATAAGCACCTGCGGGCTTGGGATGTCTGAAAGCTGCTACCCTTTGTCCTATTTTATATACGACAAAATGCATCTAGGAAATCAAAGCTATGAAAGACTTGCCCTCGTTATTGCCTTCAAGTGGTTGTCTTTCAGCCTGTAACGGTTCAGATGCATTTGGTAACACCACGGCTGCTTGCCACAAAAAAACATTATGGTACTCCGTAAAAAACAGAAAATGAAATCAAATATTAAAAAGAAAGAAATTAAACTTTTCTCTGGTGCAAATGTAGGAAAAGGGAAATGCAAACTTAAACTGGGCAATTGCAAAAAATTGCAGCTAACTTTAAAACCATTTTTCTTCCTTTTTAAAGTGAAATGATCCCAGATAAGAATAAGCCCAAGCCTCTGGTCTTCATATATGTTCCAGTGTAATGTTTTAATGAAGGACTCCAAGATAAATAGCCCTCGAGATATACAGAGAGCTGGATTTCTTATTTTATCATGACAAAACTATCATTTATGGAAAGGCCAGGTCATTTTATATGAGAGAAAATGTTATATGAGGAACTGTGTGTGCTCCCCCCTCCCCAACAGTTTCGGTTCTAACCAGAATCGTTTCCTTTTCTTTTTTTTTTTTAATTAAAAAGTTGTGGATGTACTTAGACACAACATGACACATGTTACAGTGACCCAGACACACGGGAAAGGGCCTGCCCCTGCGGAGCGGGCTGCAGACAAGCCCGCGCCTGGCTGAGCCTGACAAATGCCACCGCCTGCAACCGCGCAGAGACACGAGCTGCAAAAAGCATTCCTGGGGCTGTTTCCTGGTGCCTCTCCAAGCTGACAGCGGAGGTTTATATTAACATCATATGGCTGTCTTCAGCTGCATTTGTTAGCACAGCCCATTTGGAGACCTTTCCATGTTGGGCGACGCAGGGAACAGGAGGAAAAAAGCAAGCAAAACATCTCGAGCGTTCTAGCACCAGCATCTACGTCGGCAACGCTATCAAACGCAGCCTGCTCCGCCTCGGCCCATACCAAACGCTTGTACAACACTTTGAGGGCAGCTTTTTAAAATGTTTTTGAACACATCACACATAGGAAAATAACACACTATAGAAACTTGGCAATGAGTTTGTCTCAAGTAGCCAAGTCGGGCAGGGAAAAAAAAAATTAGACAATAAAAGGTCATTTCTAGCCAAGTTTTAAGTGAGTATACAATACATACCTTTTTTTTCCCCTGCTTTTTGCCTTAGTTATTGGCCAACTTGGCTACAAGCTTACGGAAAACAGTGAAATGGAATTATTATAATTGTTTTTTTTCTCTTTTTGACCAAGCAAAAGTTCTTATAAGCAATAATTTAATTATGGCAAAAGAGTAACACAGACTGAGTTTTAGGGAGGTATCATCAAAAATGTCTCTTTTCTGCACCATACTTTAAACTAAAAGTAGTTCATGAGCTCCAGTGATCTAATACTATTGCTATTTATGATTTTTTAAAATTATTTATTATAAAGTATGTCATAAAGTGGAAAATTACTGGTGCTGATCACATTTCCAAGCAGGCTAATTTAGACCTGAAGGTTGTAAGTCGATTAGGATAATAAACCCGCTGGAGTTAGGATGGTGAACTTTCTTGGAATTAGCATTTTCATCCTGCTTTTGGCATGCTGCGTTATGTTGGGATCAAAAAGAATACTTTTAGCAAGTTTGAAACCAAGAAACACAATTGTCTCTCTTCCGGCGTTCTATTTGTGTGGCAGTTTTTCTCTAGGATGGCTTCAGTCTGTTGCAACATGTTTCCACAGCTTCCGCCTTTGCCCCCAGGTATTTCAGGTGGATTGTTGATTAAGAGCAAGTTCTGTGCTGACGTAGGTTGGGTATTTAACATCCTGGTGTACTTCATACCTCCATGTGCCTTGGGTTTTATCTTATTTTTTGTAAGGACAGAATTAAATAAAATCAACCAAAGGGAACAGAAGGATTTTTTTTCCCTCCCTCCTCCTGAGAATGCTCCTTGCTCCCTTTTGTCACTTTGGAGCAGAGAAACCCAGAGCCCTTGGTTGCCACCTACCCTTTCACCATGCTGGGGGTGCAGGAGACGTTCGAGCCCTCATGGCCACCCTGACGTGCTTGTCAGAGACTAGGGCTGCACTCCTCAGAAAAGGAGTTTGAGATTGAGCTGGTTGCAAAGTCTGGGCAGGTGACACTTGGGTTCAGCTCTACGAGCAAATGACAGAGAAATGAAGTATTCCCATTAGGAACTGCTCCCATTTTGAAGGCAACATGGTCAGAGCTTAACTGGAGGCATACCCCTTGCCTTTCAAAGGCTGTGGGCTTTTTGTCTTGAGGATTAGAGATGATCTGAGATGTTTCACCTAGAAACAGACGTGCTTTCAGCCCAGGCGTTCATGTGGCCTGGACCAGATGCTTCAGAGGAAGATGCATAAAATGCTGCAGCTCAGGAAGCAGCAGCTGAAATTCTCTGACAATGCTGGGAACTTTTTTTGATGCAAGGACCATGATTCTGAATGTAAGATGACATAATATTAATTTAGGAAAGTTGACCTCCTAAATGAGATGAAGAAAGGAGCCAGGCATGAGAAAAAAAGGGGGAAAAAGAACAGATTTGAAGATAAAAAAGAAAAAGAAACATGAACCACAAGCCTGAGATCAACAGGAAAGTTTATAAGCTGAAGGTTTGGGGCTATGTTTAAATAAGAACAATGGTCTCCTCTCTGCCACTTACCACTTAAGACAATTCCTTGTCAAATAGAGCTGATCTTAATTTTTCTCATATTCTCTTAGAAATATCTTTCCAAATTGGACGTTCTTTTTTTTTAAGTGAGTCTTGCCAGATATATTTACCTCTCTTCGCATTTTTTTATCCTTTCATAGAATAATCTAACATTACAAAATAATATTCCATTTCTGTTTATGCCACTGGAAAAATGGGAGGAAGCTGCAGCAATGGAAAAGGCAAAATATTTTCACTTTGGAGAGACTGATCTTTTTAACAGAAAACATTCATAGCAAAGCGCTATGAGTTGCGCTCCAAGCCTGTGTCGGTTGCAACACGTAACCAGCAAGTACCTGGGAATGGCCGGAGCGCTGCCGAGAAGCGCCCAGCTGGCTGTCTCGCCTGCTCTGTGAAAAGCCACAGGCAGGCCTCTCCAGCCCATGAATTCGGCCCCGGGCGGCGCACTGCACCAACTGAACACCAGCCCTCTCGGCAGACTTCACTGCAAGCTGTTTACTTGTGCTACTGGGGGGTTTGCAGCCCAGCAAGCCTTGTCAAGCTCAACATGTATAAGGAGGGTGTGGTGATCTCTAATTATCCCCCTTGGGAAGGACTTACATGACCTAACATATCTAGCACATAAGAAGTCCATTCCTCACCATTTCGATGGCATTCGTTAGCTGGCACGACTGGTTCTACATTGCGGGAGCAGTGAGTTGGATGGAAACAGTAAACATGGTGAGTAACACTGGAGTAACAATGAACGGAGCATGTAATAACTTGATTTGTGACAAACGCAGTGGAGAGACTGGTGAATGTGACTGGCTCCCTCAAGGAATTGTGTCTATATATTGCTGATGCTTCACATTCGTAACAGCTCACATGGAGAAATATCTACGGGCGAGACTATCATCTGTAGCTGTTCAGGAGCACTAGATGGACCTTCTTGAAAAGAGTCCGTTGATTGAGTACTCGACTGAGACTCAGAGACCTTAGCTCCTCACTGCCACCCAGCTGGGGCTCTCTTTGCCCTCCCGTTCTGCATCTCATCAGGCTGCATGCTTTTTGGCAAGGAGACGCTCCCTAATTCAGCGTTTGTGCGGTTCCTACCACAACAATAATGCGTTCATTAAACTCTTGCACCTTCCTCTACAGCATGTTAGTCATGCTCCAGCATAATTACTGAGAACTTAAACCAACTGACAAGTATGTGTGCATCACTGTACTTGTCTCATCTCTGGGGAATCTGCCCAGTGCTATCAGGGTATAAAATTGGAGATGGGACCTGGCAGCCTGCCACCCTCTCTGTGACTACCAAACTGTGTGTTCCTCCACTGATGTCCCCAGAAATGCCATTAAAAAAAAAGTGGGGGGGGAGGGGGAGGGAGAAAGATGCAGTAATTGTGAAGAGAGGAATAAACACTTTGCTTGCAAAATCCAGGACTCATCCCACTGCTATATCTTGAAATTCTATTTTTGGCCTCTGCTACTCGCTTGTTTCTTTTGTGCAGCTGAATCCAGACACCTCCTACTCTCTCATCATTTGGGCTGATGGGATGCAAAGAATACTGGCTTTAGCATATCTGCCTTGACTAGCTGAGTTGAAAAACAAAGAGCTCAGCATCACCATGAATTGACAGTTGCTTAAAAATTACTATACATCTTTGTGCATGTTCTTAGCCAGCAACAAATGCGAAATGATGGACTTACCTTAGCTGAGGACAAAAGGTATTTAAATGCCTACATCCTCATGAAATTAAAAGGAGGTAGGTGATTAAATACTATTAATGATCTGCACTTAAACCTGTCAGCTGAGAACAATAGATTGCAAATAGATACACAGACACTTTTGCCAATGAGTTACACAATCTTACAGGCCTACAGCTACCAAGAACATGCACATTTCCTGGTCTGGCTGGTCTTCACGTGGCCTGATTGTGTAACCAGGAGGGGTGTCAATTTTCTCCAGACAGGTGAAAGTAGCATAGACTGGAAGCTTCCCACGCAGGAATGAGATCGACCCATTCATCATCCATAAGCCCTCCTCCACATTTCTCATTGCAAGACACATAACTGAATCTAGTACTTCTGCTGTACGCTACAGTTCAGGCAGAGATCACAGCTTTTACTAGAAATTCGGTGCGCATTAACAAGGAGATGGTTGGGCCATTTTTCTCCCAGCTTTTCTTCCTTGACAGCTCACAGGATGCTGAGTTCAGCAAACCTTCCTCATCGTGAGCTTGGATTCCACGCAAGGGAAGCCAGGTAAGGTGAATTGGCAGGTTCCCTTTTTCTTCTCCACCCTACTCCCACCACCAGTGGTTTACAGCTAGTACCTTTCACATCAAGATTTAGATGCCTGCATGTCCTGCAGTAGCTCTTTGCCCTGGGAGTAGTCTGGTATACATGAAAATTAGAAGCCTAAGATGCTTGATCAGAGCAAGGCCAGCTTGCTACTGGAGTAACTATTTGCAAGAACAGCAGAGGCTAAAGAGCCAGGCCTCAACTGTGTCTGTCACGAGGCCGATGGTGACAAGGTCCATGGAGAAGTTAAAGTCTGGAGAGAGAAAAGAGGCAAGTGGGTGGACAGACAGAGAAGCAGAAAGATGCCGTTATGGTAGTGAAGGCTACCTCTCTCCTGTCCTCCTCCAGCTGGAGGCTGTCTCATGCTGGCACCCACCGCCCAGGGGAGGTAGGGACAGGGGCTTTCTCAGGGACAAACTGTCACCTCCATGGAGGAGCCCAGGCACTTAGAAGGCAATGAGACACCCCCACCACACACAGGAAGAGATCATCCCAAATCCCCTGGAGAGCAGTCCCCAGCACTGGCTGAGGTGAGGTTTGCCATGCGCAGGGCTCCTGCCGAGGGCGCTTCCGATTCAGGCAGGGCGCCGCAACTCCACACCCTGCTGAGACCTTGGCAGGGAGACGTCCCTGCTCCAGGCCTGCTGACTCACCATGACAGCTCAGGATGTGTAACCTTGTCATCCTCTTAGCAAAAAGCTATTTCTGTCTCCCGAACAAACACGGGAGAAGCTCTGGCAAGGCAGAGTGAAAAATGGCTTTGTGGCTTCCCTGGAGGAAGCGAACACAAGTTGGAGATCAGCAACCCCCTTCTTTGATCTGATGGGGCTTCGGTCTGATTTTGTCCAAAATCGATGGACAAATAGTAGTGCATTAACCTCAGAAATAACACACTGAGAAAGACTGGCTGAGATCCTAGCGTAGCTGAAAGCATCTTGAGACCTGGCCAGCCCAAGCAGGGCATTTTGTTGTTGTTTTTTAAGAGTGAGCTTCATTAAGACCAGGAGTTGGGCAAAGTTCCCCTCTTTTCATCAGGTCAATGTGCTCTTCTGCAATTGCTAATATTGAAAGAAAGGGATGGGGGGAAAAGAAACCTTGGAAAATTAAACTTATTTGGCATTGCTGATGAAAACCAGTTTGCATTTCATTGTGAAAGACTGTTTGCTCAAGGTTTATTCAGCTCTGGTCTCTTCCATCCACATAAGGTTTGTTTTAATGGCCGTGGCGTTATATGAATCTATTAACTTTTTTTTCCTGAAAGTTTTATAATAACAATGCCTGTTTTTTTCATATAGCACTTTACAGCCACGCGTCTGGAAATGCATTGCAAATGGGCAATTAGCATCAGCCCTATTTTAAAGATGGAGAAACTCGGGCAGAGTCTGAGTGAGACAATTGCTAAAAAGTAATGCCAAAATCGAGAATTTAGCTTGATTTCAAAAAACTGAAGCTGACTACACAGGCACAGAGAGGGCTGACTGACAAGGGGAGCAGCTGACTATCGCTGGTCAAGCCTAGCAGGGCTCGTGCGGCAGCGAACCACAGGCTGAGCAGGAGCCAGCAGCCATCTGCCCACGTGAAAAAGGCAACCACCATAGCAGAATGTATAAATAGGATTATAGCCTGCAAAGTCCCTAAAGGGATGCATTCGCCAGCCGCCAACCCTGGAGTCTGACTGCAGCTCTGGGCGCCCATCACCCCGGAGGAGAGCGGTGGCCCAGGTGGAGACACTCATGGGACAGACGGCAACAAGGACAGACTGACCTGTGCGGGGTGGTTTAGCCTAAAGAAGAGGAGAGGAGGAGGGGAGTTTGGGTGATGACAGACTTCGAAGAGGCCACTGTAATCATTTACATCCCAAACGCAGCACTGGGCGAATCCGCTTCAAAGAAGGGCTGACCGTCACAGGTTTAGAGGCTCCTGTTTTCTGACAGGAGCTTGTTTCTTTTCTTTCCTCCAAACATTCCAATGGGAAAATCTGCAAAGGTTAAAGCTCAGAGCAGAGAAACAGCGAGATAATATTATTTGAGGCAAATCTCTAACAGTTTGCTCGGGCTATGTGGGAGGCAAAAGAAAATGTTGTGTGCTGGGGAACATTAAATTATTAATATTATGTCTAGCTTAAGATTAATCAGATTCCAGAGACATATAATAACCTCCTGCTGCCACCTCAGGTATGGATGTGGGGGGGCATGGATTTAATGAGCAGACTAACACCTGGAGGACCACGGCTGGCAGGGAAGAGGCCCCCAGGAAAGGACGCACGGCCTTGCAGCATGGGATGCTAGGTCTGAATTCCTCTGCGTGCCGGCTGGCCAACGGTGAGAGCCAGGAGGAGCCGGCAGCAGGTACAGGGACGCGGGAGCAGGGTGAGATTAAAAAAGCCTGGAGAGAAGCAGTCATATTTCACTTTTCTGCTGATCCCCAGAAACCTGCCTATAGATCATACTGTAGGAGCAACACGTGGATCTAATTCTCTAATGCCAGGCCTCGCCGCGCCATTATCCACATAAATCCCTGAACCCTTGACACTGGCCTTTTCATCATTTAGCTGCAGTATGTAGGGAAGGAGGAAAGCAGAGCCCAGGTTCGGAGGGAGAGATGGGTCCCGGCAGCAGGCACGGCTTCTCCTTCCTAGTGGCCTTTATGCTCCGCAATAATCCGCTCTCTACTTCATGTATCAGCTGATAACATGTGGGTCTTATTTCCCCCTCCCTTCCCACAGCTGAACTAGATGGCAGATAAAGCCGTCTTGCATGCTGAGGCATGTTTGCAACTGCTATTGATTAAAAAAAAAATTTCTTTGTGTAATGAATGCAAGGCTCGGGAGAGCTCCCCACGCCATCCCAAAGTGCCCTGGGTGACTTTGGTTTCAGGCTTCACGGTGCATAGTCTTGGAACTGGTTTTCTGCTGCCTTTAACATTATGGGCCAGTTTCTCACCTAGGGTTCATTGGCACAGCAGTTCAGGGTTGCAATTATTGGACTAGTTAAGGATCTGTTCCTAAATCTTTTACTACACTCAAGGAAAAACCTGTCTTTTAATTACTCTCCTAGCTCACTTTATCTACTTAAATAAATATTAAATGCATTAAATAATTTCAGTGGCATTAAAAATAAATCCATGCGTTTTGGGGCAGGAGATTTTTGAGAGAGGAAAAATGTTCCATCCAAATTATTTTTCCATGTAAAAACCAAGATTTCTGTTGCTGATGTTGTTAAAGAGAACAGAAACAAAATTCAGAAACACTGTAATTTTAAAATCAAAAATTGGGGGAATAATTAGTGGAGACAAAAATTCTCCTTCTTATTTTTTGCGGGGGTAGAAATTAACAAAAATTATTTGGGAGGTGGTGGGGAGAAGCAGGGCAAAGAATAATGGCCTCACCAGCTCCAGTTACAGTGCACAAGCGTAGCACAAGCATCCACCACGTTATCCCCTGCTCCCACATCATCCCTTAGACCAGAAGTGTTCATGTCTCCATGTTACAGGAGGGAGAAAGTAACAACCAAGACGTGGACGTTTTCACCATCGGACATTTCGGACTTGTATTATGAAAACATAAAAAGTTTGAAATGGACGTTTTAGAAAGGTTTCTGCCGCTTCAGAATGTCCATCCTACCTGTTGTCATTGTTGCTGGAAGTTTGTATTTTCTCCGCGGTTCGCAAGAACAACCAAGTTGAAATTACGTAACTCGAAATCAATTGAAAGTTTTGGGGGGACAAACTAAGTAAGAGGATTCACATCTCCCGAGATGCAGATGAACATCTCACGCCCCAGTCGCTTCCAGCACTTCTGTTGCTGTGAGTCTTTGAAGTTTCTCTTCTCTAAAGAATAAATAAAGAGAGTTAATTATTCAGTGCAGAGTTCAGGGCTGGTTTTGTCCTAGAATCCCCTCGCAGTGCCATGAATCCCATTTTGCTTAATGCATTCATTTATCTATTAATGCACTGGACTGGACGACAGTCTAAATTTCCACCTTTCATTTTGCATTTCTGCTTGCGGGCTGTAAATCGGGTCCGTCACAGGTTACTTAGGATGATGCAGGGTAATCTGTCTCGCTGCCCTTCCAAGCGGGAGCTCATGCCCAGGCGGCCAGGGTGCCCCCTCGCCAGCACCCACAGCCCAGGGTGGCTCCCTCGCCCCTCCAGCAGCCAGGCTCTGTTTCCAAACACTTTCCAAATTATTAAAATGAAAGTCACTCCTAGGACAATATAAAGGCTAGAAACATCTAAATGCCAAGTCAGTTATTTTGCAGGTAGGGAAACTGAGGCACAGACTGGTGAGTTGACCTGCCCAGAGACTTCCAAGCCTAGGTAGGTTCTGGGCCAAGATCACTCCTTTAAGGGGACAAGTTTCTATTGATATAAGGCCAAGAGACTTTAAAAGGTTCAAGATCTTCAGCTTTGCCCCTTCTACCAACATGCAGATATTAAGGAGATCAATTTGCACATAGAGAAGCAGCAAGAAAATAACTCTGAACAGAGATACGGAGATGAGTCAAAGGAATGTCAGAAATAGAGGAAAAACAGAAAAAAACAGATAAACAAGTAGGACTACAGATTAGTAGCAGGACTAAAAAGCAGAGAAAAATTTAGAAGAGAAACACAAAAGAAGCAAAAGATACCAAGAAGGAAAGAGATGGTGAATGGCGAGAAGGGAGTTAATGAGAGCCAGAAACACAAGTTGGAGAAATGTTGATTTTATTTAGCATTAATTGCAGGAAAGAGCCTATAAAGTGTGGTAAAAAATTATTAAGTACCACTATGCAATGCCAGGTTTGTGCCAGCCATCCCTACAAAGCAGGTGTATTATTCCTAGTTCCCTAGGTATAAATAAATAACTGCTTTTCCACATCTTTTTTATGATGGCATTTCATTATTTTTTACTGCCATATTGTTAAGGTTCTGATTCCTCCAGAACAGATCTGGAGATCGGCCCAAGAGCTTGCGTGCGCCTGGGCGCGTGTCTGCGGGGGCTGGCGCGGGCGTGCGAGGGAGCCAACTGAGCCATGCAGGGTCTCATGGATCCCAGCTCCCCCGGGGAGCGTGCAGAGCCTGATCCCCATGCCCAGAGCTGAAAACAGGGTCTGACCTGTGGTCCCAGCTCTGACCTACTGCCCTGCCCTGACAGCAACATCCAGGTGACTATAGAAAGGAAAATTACGGCCACAGTTACAAGGCGATTTGCGTCACGTCAAGGATTCTTCCAGCCAAAGTCGGGAGGGCATTGCTGTAATGAGCAGGTTTTCCAAGTCACTTTTCCCTAGAGAGGCGGGATGGGACTGGGGCAACATTTCTGAGGATGTCGCCCTGGTTCAAACCACTGTATCATGCCATCGCAATTACCTTCATGTCCTGGCCACGGAGCTGGAGTTTCCCCGAGATCTCTGTAACTTCTGCATGCACAAACATATCTTTCCTTTGAGAAAAGAAACAAAAAGTTGAGCCGAATCTGTATTCTACTCTGCTTCTAATTTTCTGCTCGGATCTGCCCAGATGCTCTTTTCAACACCGTCCTATACAGGCTCCAGTATTGCCCTCTCTAGTTAAGAAGAACAAGGGCAGTTCACATTTTTCCTGACCAATGCTCACATCAGTGTTTTCAGGCTTGTTTTATCAAGTCATTCATTTCTCAGAAGGAGACTCAGCAGGGAGATAAGGGCTGGATGCGTTTTCCTAGCAATCGAAGCCTGATGTCTCTTGCTTCAGAGGAGGCCACCAAAGACGTTCGGAGAAGCAATGATTCCCTAGTAATGCCTTAGTCCAAGCTCTGACCTGGAACTGTGGGCTCTACAAATAAGCATAAATCTTCAGCTCATGTCCAAATCACTGCAAGGTTCAGTGAAAGTAGCAAAACTGCCGGTGAATATAACCTAAGTTTTAATCCAACTACAGTTTGATTTATGACCTCAGGTGGAAACCATGAAACATGATGGCTTCAGCCCCAAACCAGAGGATCGTGCTACCCCAGGCCAAAGCTGGTTGCGTTACAGTGCTGAAAATTAGGACAGTGAGAATCACAGATGAAATAAAACAGCACAAATATGTCCTAACAAAGCCTACAAAGCCTGTCCATTGTGTGGTAAGAAAAGGTAGCTGGCACTCAAACCAAACCAGTGCCTTACTCAAGTCAGAGACAGGAAATTAGACAAAATCAAAGAATAATCAGTGCAAACAAGCAATAAAGTTATATTTTCTGATTTAAAAAAAAAAAAAAGTAGCTTCACCATTTGAATGTCCAAGAGTTCTTTCCTAAACATAGAATTCTGGGATAGCATTATGGTATTTTGGGACATTTATAATAGCTTTCAGTATTCATTCCCCTCTCAAAATATTACCAGAGACAGTAATAGACCTAATTTTTTTTCTACAGTTCAAAAAGAGAGGGCGTCAGTCTCAGTGACCCAGTTTTCTGTGGACAAAGGGGTGTCACGTCATCAGGGAAAGATACTTCTGTAGGTTCTCTGCTGGCAAAATTTCCCACAGCAAGAAGGAAGAATTATCTCTGTAGAGCATTAAAAAAGCTATTTCCTCTCCTTTCTGTGACCCTTGTTATCTATCTACATATTAGCTTAGAAAAACTAACCACAATAACAATTAACATAAGCTCCCAGGTGACACGATCAAGAATATTCTTGACTGGTCCCCTTATCAACATGGTCTATCACCAGTGACCTCAAAATAAGCAGTATCCCACAACCAGCCCTTGAATTTCAAGTCTCTTTAACAGTTTAACTGAGAAATGGGAGGGAGGGATGATGGGTGAGGGAGGGGATTTCTGCAGCATTACCATATTAAAAGTCAGCCGGGTAGAGCTGTTAGGCTCCCCAAGATTGCAGGATGGCTGAAGTTTACAGTCAGCGTTGACGTGGGTTCACAGTTGTAACATCTGTATCCCATCTTGGTGCCAAGTTGGTCTTTTTTCCAATACTCGGTATCCCCCCAATGTGCATGTAAATCTCCAAAGGGAAACACTGCATCATAATTTGTGACCAAAAAGGTAATCCCAGGCAGTACATTATAGCAACACCTGCAATGCACTGTGGCTTTTCCAGCCAAGACTACTGTTATTGTGGCACAGGGCTTCCACCACCCCCTTGGGGGACCCACAGACGACCGACCGTGAGCTAATGAGCTACAACGCAGATGGTTTATAGCACCCCACCGGCCTTTCGGTCACAAGGCAATGAGAAATGGGTCACTCGACCAGTGACCTGGTGGGATGAGGGAAGCCAGGTGGCCAAGGCTTTGCGTGCAAATGGGTACCCCAGAAGCCTAGACGAGGCTCAGAGAGGAAGGGGTGCTGCGCAAAGGAGCAGGAGGTGAATGCCCCTCTCTGATAGCAGCACTACGAAAGCGGTATTTTACTCCCTTTCGTTCCTTACCTCATTTGTCCTACACCCCATTCCCAGGTAGGCACAGTCATGCCAGCACACTTCACTCGTGCTCCACAGCCTCCAGTGTCTTTACAGGTCTCCCAACACTCGCGACATGGCCACTCCGGGTACTCCGCCGCAGAGGCCCTGCCTACAGCTGCAGTAGGCTAGCTCGAGAGGCTCTTCTTCTGGAAAGCGTATCTGGTACTGAAAGAGTTCAATTCAGTGGAAAAGTCAGAAACAAATCACTTTTACCACAGTAATTTCTTCATGCAGACCACACCTGAGAGAGTGCCCTGATTTTTCATAGCTATTTCTCATGCCTCTGATAGCAAGTCTGATGGACACAGAGGTCACGAGTAGCTGTCTGACCCCAGCTCTCTCTCTAGAAGTCTAACACACCTATCCTAGTTTGACCAAGCTTCGCCTTGAGGTGGATGTTGGCGAGAACATGATCCACAGGGCTCATTCCCTCTTGCTCTCTCTTCCAGTGCAAACTCAGAGAGATTTGCAGCTCTTCTTACTGGAAAAAGTAAGCTTGTACTGAAAGAGTTTCTGTAGGACTTAAAGTATAAATGAAATGAAGTTAGTCAAAGAGTTTTTTCCTTTCTTTTTTCTTTCTGGTTTTTTTCCTCCCTCCTTTTTTTTTTTTCTCTAAACTCAAGTGAAAGAAAAAGCGTGACGAGGAATCAGGAGTCTGTCTGCCATGGAATATTCCGGCAGTACTTGGGGCTGTGGTTTATTTTACTAGTGGTGACTAGTTCAAGCCACATTTAGTCAATAAATATGAGATATGAGGTCACTCCACCATTTAGCTGTTACCCTGTCTACATATTTCACAGCTGGGTAGTAACCTTTTAACTAGCGTCTACCTCGGTGGGGAGTCTCCATAAAAAAAGAGCCAGGATCCATTGGTCTTGGTGGGGGATCAAGGAATAGGAGCACCAAGGAGATTTCGGAGTAGGCGAAGTGGGAGAAAGGGAACACGCTGGACCTCACTTCTCACTTTTTCTCTGCTTTCAGAGTGACATAGGGCCCAGAAGAGGCAGAGGAGCCCTCAGAGATGACTCTGCTTTTCCAGGCAGATAACTGGTGATGAAGCAGCACGTTCCACGTGCCGAGCTTTACACCGAGTTTCCCTTTTTACATACGGAAACAAGCAAAAGGACAAATTGCCTCCAATTTTCAGCTTTACAGACCAGATCTATCTGAGTCTAACATTTCCGAGGTTTGTTCCATACACATCTTATAGGATTTAGCAGAAACATCTTTAAAAGCTTAATGCCCCTCAGTCAGAGAGGCATTACTTATACCATACGATAGCTCCTCCTCGCTTTGGGACAAGGAGGACATTTCCCTGGTTTCTCTCTGGTCCAGGAGACTGAGCTCATAGCTCGGGGTTAAGTCTGATCACGAGGGCTACGAAGCAGCCCTGCATCCATCAGTAAAGCTTTGCACCAGCAAATGTTGCAACTAGAACCAACTTTTCTGTGATGATCCCCAGCTGTAACCTGCCACGTTGGCCCCTGAGACAACCTTCCAGTGTCGATGCTTGCTCATCTGCCTGGGACACAGCAGGTCAAGAGAAGAGACCTCTCCAGTCCTGCTCCTGCCTCAATTTGAAACCGCCCTGGTTTCAGAAGGTGCCTCTTTTGCTGCTGTTCCTGTGCTCCTACTCTGGGCCCATCCTGCTCCCTCTTTGCTTTTCTGCTATGGCCCCACCGAGAGCTCACCCTCAGAGAGCGTGGCAGCAAGCCACAAGAAAGCAGCAAGCGTGAGAAGGTACCTGAGCCAAGCCGCCTGGCCTGGCTCCAGAAAGGTATTTTACGTATCTAACAGAAAGAAAACCCATGAGTGCATATGGCGAGAAGCAGGCAGGGAAGAGAAAGCAAACCTGCAAGTGGAAGAGGCCGTATGTAGGGAACAAAGTCAACTGTGGACCAGCCCACGGAGCGGTACTGCTTTACACCAGCTCTGAACATCACACGGCTGTGCGGGTGCTGGAGGCAGACGGAGACCCAGGCACTCAGCGGGTGCCGGGCCCCCGCTGGCCTCGGCTGGCCCTGCACGACGCTGCTGCGTCTGCAGGGAAGCAGCAGCAAATCTAGAGGAGGGGAGCTGCGCCGGCCCTGCCGAGCAAGGTGCTAGGCAGCCCGTCCAAGCATTGCACATCGTCTCCAGCGAGACAAGCCAGGAAAGCAGCTACTTGGAGCTGCTGGCAGGGGTCGAGGCGGTGGCTCGGGCAAGCGCGCTGCTCCTGCCCTCTGGCACGCCGGGAATCCCAGCCCAGTCCCCCTCGCTGACGTCACAGCCGAGGCTCAGCACCAGGAGACGCGGCTCCGGCGCCGGGAGACGGTGCCGGCTCCTCCCACTGTGCCCTGCAAAATCAGAATCTCTGCTGTCATCTGCCTTTTATAGGGCTATAAAACCAGGAGTTCACGTACAAGGGGTTGGGCCCGTCAGACGTTGGCCAGCTTCAGCCTCTGCCACCTTCATCATCACCTCCCAAGTTCCCGTGCTGTGTGTGCGCGTGTACACACACGTTTGCATATGGCCCCCTGCTCCCTCCATCACCAGAAACGCCCTCGGACCAAAGGCACGGCGCCCTTCTGCACGGCCAGGACCGGCAAAGCCCTCAGACGGACAGACAGACACGGAAAGACGGGCTCACAGCAGCATCGGCCCCAGCTGGCTCAGCTGGACGCGCTTGAGTGAAGCGGGTAAGAGCGAGGC